ATATATATCTGCACCTTTTTTCTCAAAAAATAAATTTAAACAATAATGATCTACAAACAAAACACTAAACAAAAACAAAAAACAATCTCAAATCCCTATTAGATGTCATTTTGAATGAATACACATTTACATTGTTTCATATTTTTTTAGCAAGATGACCTTTATCATTCTCTTAAACATCGACATTGTTCTTGCATTTCACTCTCCAGATTATTCCATAGTCTTATTCCTTGTACTGAAGTACATCATTCCCTTAAACAAGTTCTAAGTCTAGGTTTCACAAACATCTCCACCCCTTCAGATTATAACAACTTTCTCGTTTAACAAAATTCAATTGGTTGTTTAAAGGCAATAAACCTTTATGAGCCTTATACATAAATATTGTGCTGTAAATGATACATAACCTGCAAAATGATAATAATAATTGCTGTTCATATCATAATGCTCTTACATGACTCTGATTAATATATCTTTAGTTGAAAGTGGGATGTGGTGTATACAGGGCCCCAGTTTTCCCTTCTGCCTGGGGCCCCATGGTATTTATAAACTGTTCAGGGACCTAAAAGCCCATATCACTGGGCCTGATACCCCATACTCCCAGAGTACCCCCCACGCAGGAGTCCCCGAGCGACATGGTCGATCGCCTTCTCCAATTCCACCAAACACATGTAGACTGGTTGAAGGAACTCCCATGCACCCTCCAGGACCCTGTTTAAGGTGTAGATCTGGTCTGCTGTATTCATACAATATTTGGACAAAAATAGGCTTTTAGTTAATTAAGTTTTTGGTGAGAATATACCATTTCTGCTGCTGTTAAGCAAGTTTGGTCAAACCCTGACAGGAAACTCACAATGTAATGAAAACAAACAGCACAGAGCACGTGCGCCCTTTGTGGGGGGCGGGGTTTGCCCCTCCCGCCAGCACACCCGTTGTCCCACGTTGCCAGATAAACCATAACCACCGTTTCTATATGATAAAGGATCACAGACATAATCAGTGTCTGTCTGTTTATAAACGTCGATGGCGATCCTCGTGTTTTTAAGTTAAAAAAAAGCTCAAATAAAAATAATTATGGCATTATGTCGTTCTGATCGCGCGTTTGCCAGGAGGAGGAAGAAATGCACCTTAACTCCATGTTTAAAATACGATAATTTTGTGTGCAGAGTGCGAGGGTTCATCGTTTCTTATCTGGCAACCCGGGCTGGTGACGACACTGGGTTCAGCAGTGATGGGATCTCGAGCGAGCGCTGGTGAGTTTTCGTTAAACCAATAAAATCTCTTACTTTCGCCTCGTCACTTGAACAGGGAAGCGGGCAGGACGTACAAATTGACATCGCCCGAGCTTGAGCGGCCGTGGCTCCGGGAAGTTTGCGTCCTGTCCGTGAGTCTGTCGGGCATTTACCTGGTGGGCTTATCACCGTCTTAACGAACCTGTAAGTCGCTGTGGTTTAATTCTGTCTGTAACTTTTTCTCTACGTGGAGCGCGTTAGTCGCTGCAAGCTAGCCGGTTAGCTTACACTCAGGCGTCTGATGTATATCTCTGTTTTCTTGTCAAGTTTTGTTACATCTTGTGGAGCAGGAAGCGGTGACAGGGCGAGGATAAAAGCCTTTGCTGTCGGGGTCGTTTTACAAAACAAGACGGGGGGTTAGCGACAGTAGCTAGCCGCCCCTGTTTGGAGACAAATGAGATGTTGGCGGCTCACCTGATCCAGCTTCATCACGGGGTGGTGCACTCAGGTTTAGCCCTATAAATAGGGGATTTGGGTGGATTTGTTGAGTCTGTTTGTTACGCTGTGTCAGCAGAATTTCTAACATAAATGAAAATTCAGACTTGAGATGTGGAAGAAAAGCAAAAAAGGCTTGGTTACTAAATATAACCATATTCAAGAGAAAAGCTTAACTTGTGTTTTCTTAGATGCAACAAACCGCCTGTTTACATGATGTAAAGTACATTTCCATATCGCCCTGCTTTGTTAAATTTGTTAATTTCCTTGAGTTTTATGCAGTGTATCTATTACAATGTCTTCATTATGTTGTCCACTGACTAAAAATCCTAAAGGGATATATCTACAACATAAAATAATTAGTTTGCAGTTATAGTATAGTATATAATGCTTACTTTGATATTTTGAAATCAGCAAATCATTACATTTTAACAAATGTGAAACGATGATAAATGACTCAGGAGTCATGCATGAGTCAGATAAACACAAATAATAGTTTAGGGTGTGTTTGTGAAAGTCCACTTGATAAAATGGTCTCAATAAACAAACTGGATTTGCATAATATATGGTTTTACATAAAGCATAATAGCTGCTTGTCTTCACTGACCAGCATTAAATCAGTAAAAACATGTTGAAAGAAAAAATAATCACGAGTCGTTAGTCATTTATCACTGGATTCAAAGACCCAACTGTTTCACTTGTCAGGCATGAATAGATTGCTTAATCTTAGTATTTGTTTATAGTTTTGTCAGTCCTTGTAAGCCACCGTAATACAATGAAGCACATTGTGATGAAATTAACATTTTATGCTTCAAATGTTTTCCTAAAGAAAACAAAACTGGGACCAGGTTAGACCAGTTTTAGTAAAGTTTTTAGTAAAGTTTTGGGCGTGCTGCAGTGTGGACACACCTGGTCCCTCTGAGGTTTTCATTTTGCTGTCTTTTTTCCCCCCATCAAGTCTATTAGTATTTGATTTAGTTTTTTGTTTTTATCTGCTCCCTTCTTAAGGGGTCACCACAGCGAGCAAACTTGCATGAAGATTTAGCAATCGTTTTTATGCCGATGTTCTTCCTGACCCAACCACAAACCACCGACCTACCACAGCCCACATTTTCTATACAAAAACACTTTATTGATCTCAAAGGGAAATTAGAAATGTGGAGTAGCAGGAGACTGCCACCCTTTGCTCAAGGGTCCAGAGTAGGGCAAATGAGGGTGGCATAAGATGTGGGTATTACAGCTCTCCCACCCAAATTGTGACATGACAGTCAGGGGATTTGTACCGGCAACCTTCTGCTCACACGCTCACCTTCTCTAACCTCTGCACCACTGCTTTTAATAATGTAAAAAATATATATATAATTACCTGGGGGAATTATCTTGTCCTGCAAGGAACTGAAAGTGTTTCAACAACTGTCCTACTAATATGGCAACAAACAAATGAGGATAAATATGTATGGAAAACATTCAAGGCATTTATTTTTTCAAGTGCAGTTGGAAATTATTTTTGAAAATCAAGCTGAACTGGTTCTGATGAGAGCTGAAGATGCACACTAGGGCTACAGATTATTAAGAAAACCTGCGATGTGTGAGAACAAAGCTTAATATTACGATGACAATATGACTTACAAGTAATTAAATATGTAGTATTTAGTCGTTCTGCTCTCTGGATTCAGAGCAAAACAACTATCATTATTATCATTACAACTTGACAATTTTATATAAAAAAATGCAAGTAGCCAACTGCTGTTTTAGCAGTGAAACAACAAACTGTATGCAATACAATTTCTTAATGATTTTAAAACATTGTACCCACAAAACATGTTCTGATGCTCTAAATACTGAAAAAATGCCTCATACTGTCAGTTTTTTTTTTAAGCTTGCTCAGTTGTTTACTATCCACCTGCGTCTACTTACAAATTGGGCATAAAATATAGAGATCCATCCGATTGGCCAAATACATGAACAGCTCCATGTGATTGGTTAAATACACCAAGCTTTTGTGTGACTGACCAAATAAAAACCTTTGAGCAAACCATTAATTTCAGCTTTTACAGTTTTTGGCGGTATGCCTAGTGCACAGGCTGTGACGATGACGATTAGTTTTCAGTATATTGTGCAGCCCTAATTCAGACCATATAAAGCAGGAAGGTTTTGTAATTGGAAGTATGTTTTTGTTCTAGTTTATGACTAGTCTGTAGTTGTTTTAAATAGTGTTGTTAAAGGGACAGAAGAGGTTAGGTTGTTCTTGCTAAAGGTCTCCTCTTCCCTGTAATGTGGCCGCAGGAAGGAGGCGTCTGATCAGTTCTTATGTCATTGTGCAGAGCGCCACCAGCCCCAAACATACAGCCAGGGTCATCAAGAAGGGTCTTCAGCCACAAGAACAAGGAGTTCTGGAGCAGATGGTATGCCCCCCCATAAAGTCCTGACCTCAATACCACAAACCTCTGATCACCAGACGAACCGTGATCTGAGGCGTGTCCCTCAGAACTACACATTATCAACTGAAGGACTTAAAAAAAAACACGCTGTTTTAAAGGCAGATTTTTCATTTCCTGCAAAAAAGCAGCGTGAAGAAAAGTACAAAACAGTTGCAACTTGTAAAATAACTTGTTGTAGAAATATTTATTAAAAAGGCAGAAACACTTGAATGAAACAAAGTGTACTGCATGGTGGCCGTCAAGATGATTTAATAAAAGGCGGAGTAACAACTCAGCAGACCCGATCAGAGAAATCCGTCAAGTTGCTACTACCTGAACAATGAACAGAGACGCAGTTTTACATCCGGCGACAGATCGTGAGCGTCCAATCACAGACCGACAAATGTCAACATGGTCCAATCACAGAGCACCAGCTCGAACAGAGATTACAAAATAAAAGCAAGGGTACAGACATTAAGTCGTCTTGAAATCATGAGAAACAGATTATACAAGACGTAGCAGTTATCAAAAGAGATACAATAATATGAATGTCAAGACGGTATGAACTTGTACAGGCAGAGTTGTATAAGTATTCCAGCACATAGCTAAAGCAGCCAAAATTAGCAGAAAAATAACTAGGAAGTAGCTGAAAAAAGTGAGAAGGGGGTCTCAGCGGTCACTAAGTGGGAGTTTCTTGTTGTGTGGGAGGAGTTTGTCCTAGACATTATTGATCAGTGGGACTTATGTAGGTGTGGTTGATCAGGTTGATTACTTTGGGTGGGGTCTGAAGAACGCTGTGCAGCTGGGCGGACTTTTAGCTCGGTTGAAAGCGACTATTTTTAAGTTTAAATATTCATTTTAGTCATAACGTGAGACGGGAAGGTGCTAGCTGCACAAACTTTAAACACTGTACAACTATTCAGAATAGTTATGCCATTAAACTCTCAACAATGTCGTACAGTTTACCTGTTTGGTCTCTTACAACAAATGAAATCTTAGAACCRATAGTTAGGCTCTACAACAGGGCCTACAAAATTCATAAAAAAACTTCCATGTTGGACTCATCACTGTACAGTTCTTTCATTGTCTGATGCCTTGAATTTTCAGATTTATGTTTTGTATAGTGGTATTAATTTCTATTTTCAGATCTTCCAAGGTGCCAATTATGGAACTCTCTGTGCATTGTTGCCCAAATCAAATTCTGGAAGTGGTCATTCAACTAGATCTGTTACAAAAGGACAACTGATATTACCAACTTTTAAAAACTGTTACGGCCAGAGGTCTTTCTTCTATGTTTATACTAAAGCATGGAATGACATTCCTCAAAACATAAAGTCCATTTCAAAACTACAGCCATTTAAGAAGAATCTTGTCTGCCATCTGCTGGACACTTTTTGTTGTGCTCATATTTAGACGTTCTATTTTGCAAATGCTGCCTTCCTGAAATTTGGTATGCTTGTTTGTCTTTGTGTCTATGGTGTATTATGATGTGATTGTGATGCTGTATTTCTGAGTGTTTTATGTGCTGCAGAACAGGAACCTGCTGTAAAACAGCAATTATGCTGAGTCAGACTTGATTTTTTTAGTAATCTTTTCCTGTTGAATCAAATCAAATCAAATCAAAACAACTCTAACCCACAAATTCAGGTTTTAAAGCACTATTTCCAAAGCCTGCTTCTCTGATGGTATGGGGGTGCATTAGTTCCTGAGTCTGGGAAGGCACCATCAGTGCAGAAAATCATTATTTCTGTTTTTATTTACATTTTACACATTTTTGTAGAACTGGTCGTATAAAACAATGTTTTAAAAATGTCATTTTCTGTTTTGTCTGCCTTTTAGAGAAAATGAGCGTCATCCCTCTCTCTCGTTCGGAGGTGTTTGTGGAGCTGAGAAAGGAGCTCTATGAAGATAAGGAGTTCCATCAGTCTGATGTTCACATCTTCATCATCATGGGAGCGTCGGTGAGCATCGCCTGTTTGTAACTCTTCTCTTTGACCTGCAGTAACTTCTGCTTTTGGGACATTTTCAGTAAAGGCTACTTCAGTCGAGGACTTTTGGCCATAATTTCAAAGAAGTGTGTTGAAATAAAAAACAAAAAAGAGTTTCACAGAACAGGGTGATTTCAACAAGCTTCTGCAAACAAGCACCGATCAGTTTGCTTGTAAAAACCTCAAGGTTCCTCTTTGATTATCTGTTCAGAACAAGAATATTTTCCAACAGAGCCAGAGATTTCAGTTTATGTAGAAATGAAAACTGGTTTATTCTTTCTGTGAAAAAGATGAATTAGTCTGCATCTGCTAATGTTAACTAGGAGCTGTGAAATTGATTATACTTTGTTTCTGAAAATCACTTTTGTTTTTGACACCTAAACAAAAGAACAAGTTAAAACTGTTCAAAGAGGAAACAGAAGGAAATGTCCCAATTTACCAACACAAGTTTCCTCATCTGTTTCAAGAGTCGAGTGAAGGAACCACATCACTTCTCAGTTTAAACCCATTTATTTCCTTCTCTTAAAAAAAAGCGCTCTTTAAAAACACTTTTAAAAAACATAATTTAGTGAAACCACAGCGCTTAACTGTGTCCTTTTTGTCTTCACACTGCTTGGTCTGTGGAAGAAAGCTGGCATTGTGGCTTTTTGCTTTTGTTTTTGCAGTGTCACCGTATGTCAGCATTTTTCTTTCATGGCCGTTTGCAGGGAGATCAAGGACAGGGTTGGGCTGGTGTGTGTGTGCGTGTGTGTGTGTGTGTGTGTGTGTGTGTGTGTGTGTGTGTGTGTGTGTG